TTAGCTAATATTTAATAACAAAATTGGACTAAAACAGTTCTATAAAATAGAATTATCATAGTGAAGGGAAAATATTACTATCCTTGTAAATAAGGTTAGTGGCTAAACGTACTAGATTGTGTTCCCTTGATACCAAAAGAGAAATATCACTATCCTGTGCTTAGAAATCTCTTGAATAAGTGTGAAATTTGTGAAAGTATGTTTCATTAGGCTATTAATGTGAACCCTTAATTAAATAGCAAGTTTGGAAATGTTGCCATTATGATTGTGGTAGAGCGATAAATATTATTGGATGTGTGAGCATGTACTATGTTAACTAAAGTTTCACCTTAAGTGACATGTTGTAAACAGCTTCTAGTGGTAAGTTTAAAAGTATCCCTTTAAATAAAGATTGAGAAATTAAAGTAAAAATAGCAAGTTTGGTAATATTTCCCTTGTTGGATATTGAATGGGATGATGAATAAATTCCTCCAAGCTATGAGTGTACGAATGAGTTGATTGAGATTGAAATACCAGAATGAGGGTTAACAAGCTAGAGCTTGAAATAAAAATGAGTTTGTATAGTTGGAAATTGCAAAAACTTGCAGACTGATGAATGAAGTATCGATAAATTGAAAAATCTATCAAAACGTGTCTAACTAGATATCCCTCGGGGACATTTTACGTCAAATCTATCAATATATTGGCAAGTATATCGATACTTATGCTCTGTCTTTGATTGAATGATGGCTAATGCTTAGTTGGTGCAAAAGAATGCCTTCCCTACGTGTTTAGCACTTTATTGAGCATGAAAGGCTTGATTTTCAGTCAATGTAACGAGTTAAAGAAAACTATTGATATTGCATCACAGATTTGGAATGGAAACATGTATGATTTCAAAGTGAATGTGCATTGTTTATAAACCCTCTCTCAGTTATTGCTAATTCCCTTCATTATCCCTCATTGAGTTTTTACTCATTGTTTTTACCTTGCATGTTTTTAGATCCAAAGCTAGCTGAATCATAGTTACTTCGAGGGGATCTTCGTATGTTAGGTTCGAGATCATGGCACTTGGTAGTCATCTTGTTACCCAAGTCACTTTGCTAGTTATCTGGTCATTGGTCACTTGGTTGCTTTAAACATATAACCATATGTATTTGTATATACACGTCCTTATGTATGGGTTATGGAATATGCCTTAGTTGTTGCATATCATGACCTAGCCACGAGTTGGCGAATATGTTATGATTTTGTATATGGCCTACTTAAATACATGTTGAATGTTTATATCACATGGTTGTGCAAATTTGTAAATGTTTGAACATAAGGATATGAGATGAAAGAAAAATCTTTATCCATGGATTAAGTACCCTTATGAGGGCTTGCACAAGTGAATTATATTTAAGGCTTGTGTAGACTTGGTGGGTTGAGCTTGTTGAGTTCTCACGTTGGTCATGGTTTGGGACAAGGTTGTGATAAAACATATTTTTTTTATTTGAGAATAAATGTATTTAGGTTTAACTTAGGTGCTGTTTATAGCATGTTTGGTACAAAGAATAACTAAGCTATTCCCTTTTTATTTTTATCTTTTTTATTTGTTCCCTCGTTTAGTAAACAATTGCCTAAAGGAATAGCTATTATTGAGCATTAGCTATTCCTCCAAAATAGCTAAAACTCAAGCTTAACTAAACCCAAGCCCCTTATGGTATTTGCTATTCCATAGTTGGGCGAGCAATTTTCAAATTTGATAAGATTAAAATATCCCTTTTAAATGTGAAAAATTACAACCCAATAAATACTTTCCTTTTCTTTTCTTTTTTCCTTCTTCTTTCTCTTCCTTTTCACATTCTTACCTCTCTTTCTCTCTCTAACCTCCCTCACCACTAGAGGCAACGACGATAGTGGCAGACAACGATGGTTCTATAGTCGAATATGGCCAAAAAGCATCGATCTAATTCTTTTTGGCAAGATCGGATCAAGGAGCCATCAGGTTTGGGGTCCATGGCCTTATTTCGTCGTAAGAAGAACTAAATTTGACATTTCTAACCAGATCCCACCATGAGAAGCATCGATTTGGCGCCCTAACGGCTAAATCCGACCACATGGTATGCCATATTGGCATTTCATTATGTCGACTGCATTTTTAGTGGCCAACTAGTAGAGAAGAAAAAAGGATAAGGAAAAAAAGAAAATAATTTTAATATTTTGAAATTATTAATATTTTAATATTTTAATCATAATAATGTTTAAATTATAAATAACATATTAATATTTTAAAAATATTAACATTTAACTTATTAAATTATTAATAAATTAAATTTTTATTGAAAATATAAATAAAAAATAAAAAATACAAATAAAGAAAAATATAAAAAGGTTGTACTAATATTTTAGTAATAAATTATTAAATTTTTAAAATTTTAAAATTTTAATGAAAATAAATTAAATGATTAAAAAGGAAAAAAATTACACGTTTTTATTTTTTGGTATAAATTTTACTAAATTATCTAAAAGGTATTTTTAACTTTTTAGAAAATAAATCTTATTATAATAAAAAGTTTATGTTTTCAATTATATATTATATAAATTAATGTTTTAAGTTTGGAAATTAATTAAAATTTTTAATATTTTAATCATAATAATATTTAAATTATAAATAAATTATTAGTATTTTAAAAAAATTAATAATTAAATTATAAAAAATTAATATTTAAAAATGTTAATATTTAAATTATTAATTATTAGTATTTTAAATAAATTATAAATTATTAATACTTAAAAATAAAATAAAATAAAAAATTATATAATAAAAGTTACTTTTGTCTTTTAAGCACTTATCATTTTATCATTCCAAAATTATTTTTACTAACCAAACATTGTAATAAATCTTAATAGATGTTCCTACCTTATTTCATTTCATCAACCAAACTATACGATAACATTTTTATTTTATTCTTTCTTTATTCTATTTTCACAAAATATCTATTTTATTCTATTTCATTGAACTAAACATGCCATTAGCGTAGTAGTATTTAATTAACTTAGATAAGAGTGCCCAAAAGATTACTGTGATTTGTCACCCATGTGGTTGAACAAATCAATCAGGGGATGTAGCTCAAATGGCAGAGCGCTCGCTTTGCATGGGAGAGGTACAGGATCGAATCCCCTTTATCTCCAGCTCAGTTGACTACTAGCAACTGGCATGTATTCAGCTCTTTCTACCGCTAGCAACTAGCATGCATTCTTCGCTCACATATTATATTTGATTATAATACCATCTTACATTACAGTAATTCCTTGATAATTTTTGTTCATTTTGCCGACATAATATTGAACTTTGAACTTGATTATTGGTTCTACACAAATGGAATGGATAAGAAGGAATAAAGTGAGCGTATAATTATGTAGCTATATACATATATTCATTATCTATTTTCCGTAGAGATAGATGACATTTGTATGAATACATATCAACAAAGGACTCCACTGCGTGGAATCTTTCCAATAATCAAGTAAGCAATTCCTAGTTAGGATTTATTCTCTTCATCAACTGGTACATGGCATTTTCTCTTCCTCCACCACACCATCCACTTTCAAGGCATCTATATCTAAATTCCTATTGGATTCTAATTTTTTCTCCTTACTTTACACTTTTAACACATACAGTTTTAGAATATATATAGAGAGATAATTTTTTTTTTAGTATTGTAAATTTTATCCGTAATTTTTTAAAAATGAATAAATCGAAAATGTTGCAGCCCCATTTGAAATTTGAAATTAAAAAAGAATAGATTAAATCCTAAAATGAAAATTTGCACTAATTACTTGCTATTTTCAAGATGATGAGGCCAACAATTTGATGTTGATAGAAAATTCAAAGTAAACATCAGATAAGTTGTTAGTGTTTGCTTCCATTTTATCATGCAATCCATAAGGATAACTACTCTATTCATGTAATTATCAACAACATAATAAAATAATAAAAACATTATTTATCAATTATATTATCGAAATTAATCCTTTAAAAAAAAAAGAATTTTACTTTTACCCACTCAAACACTAGTTAGGTTTTGTCATAAACTTGAAACTTTTGACATTATGTTCATAGTTCAAAACAATTTTCAGAAAGTCCATTTCTTAGGACTAAAGTATGATGATTAATATGTTAATTTTCATAGTATATTATCTCTATTTCATTATAATAATAAATACTTTTTAAAAAATAAATATTATACCAATATTGAATTGATTCTAATTGTTTGATTCCATGACAGAAATTCTACACTATCAAATTTTTTATGTATAAGGGAAAATGAAGATGCATTTTTTTATGTCAAATATATATATATAAAAGAAATTACCAATAATATGTAAGAATCAAACTAATAGTATCATAATTATAGTCTAATAGACTTGTAATGGTATATGATTATGTTAAGACAACTCTTCAAATTCAAGGTGATAGGGTAAATGTCAACTTGAGATGGGAAATTAAGTCTTAAAATTAATTAGTGGCTAAACAATGGTCTCCAACGACAATAAGTTAAAGTTTGTGTGCAATCAAGAAGATCGATTGATTTACTAGTAGATGGAACAAATAGTATTAATGTTAATGAAAAAATATATATTATTTTAAAAAATAAAATCAATTTAAAAAGACTCAAAAGCTTATATATTAATAAATTTCAGCATTAATATTTTGTTATGAATTTGTAGTAAATTCACGAGATTGAGTTGATATCATATCTTATCCCAAATGAGTTAATATCTCTTTATCTCGCTGTATAATGAATAATATAGATTGGCAAAGCCTTGCAAAACAAAATACGTACTGTCTATGATTTAATACCAAGGTAAAATACAGTAAAAATACAGATATATATATATAGAGAGAGAGAGAGAGAAGAGTGGGGACAAGGAGGAGCCTGAGGCCGCAGCCTCCCCAGAGGAATTTCCTTCTTAGTAGATTCTTTCTCTCTCTAACTTTCTCTTCTTCTTTTTTTCCTCTCCACTCATCCCTTCCATTTTTTTTCCCTATTCTTTTTCTTTTCCCTCATCTTTATATCGAAATTCAATCGATCAGTTGCAGCTTCTATTCAAACCCTAACTCCGTGTCTTTCTCTGGTTTCCTCTCTCCTCATTTAGCGTTTGCTTCCAGGTAAAATGTGTTTAGTGAAATCTTTTATGAACTTAATTTGTATACGTTGTTTTTCGGTAGATCCAGGTGAGGAAAATATGTTATTTTTATGTTTGGCTTTGGGATTTAGGTGTTTGGATGTAAACCATGAATTTCTTGCTTTTGTTTTTTTTTTTTTAGGAGACATTTTTAGTTTTAGATTGAATTGAGAAAAAAGGTTTCTTTATTTTAATCTGCAAACTTGAAATTTAAATAAAACAATCAAGATGTTTGATATCTTAGGTGACAAAGTTCACCCCTTTAGCTTCAATTAAGAGTTGAATTCGCTTAGAGATGAAAGAAGAGCGAGTTTGTTTCCCTTGTGTTATTATTAATTTAAAAGCTATTTTTGTTTTCAGTGGTTGTTATCAAAGAAGATGAAAAGAACAATCAATTGGATTGTAAAAGCTCATTGCTTAGAATTTTTTCTTTTTTTTTTTTTGGTTGTAGGTGGTGACAATGTCAACTCCCGCAAGGAAGAGGCTAATGAGAGATTTTAAGAGGCTGCAACAAGATCCACCGGCAGGTATCAGTGGAGCACCTCAAGACAACAATATAATGCTTTGGAATGCAGTTATATTCGGGTTAGTTTGGGGAAAAAAATGACCTTTTCTTTCCTTTCAAGTTTGCTTAGAATATTTATTTTACCTCTTCTCATTTATCAGTATATTAAGTATGGTACGATAAGCTATTCTGGTTTCTTATCTGATTTGGGTTGCAGTCCAGATGATACTCCATGGGATGGAGGTGAGTAACCCTTGTGCCCAAACTTATACTTAAAGAACATGTACAGTGTTTTTTACCGCTTCAGATAGATGTGTGTATAGGATCTCATGTTGTTTGTTACACATACTTTTAGATGACTTCATTACCGATGTGATATATGGGTTTTTAATAATTATTTTGTATCCCCACTGTAACTTTATGGCATATTCTTAATTCTTATCACAGAAATAAATTTCTGATGCAAAATGGTGTAGTTTTATTTTCTGGGTTTTGGTTGTTACTCCAACTTATGATGCTCTGACTCAGTACAGATGTGAGACACGGTTATGCATCCATCACAAATAGGTTTCACTTTGAGGAGTTGATGAAGCAGAAGTAAGGGAAAGAGATAGACAATAGAAATTTAGAGGGAAAATCAGAAATAGATAGAAGCAATTTGGGAGGAACTGAGGATATGAGGGGAGAAACAGAAGAATAAGGGGTGAAAAACCAGAAGAATCAATAAAGGGTTAAAATCTAAATAAGTAGTATCTCAAATATTCATTTTCCAAAACTTCCCTAAAACTAAAATAACATAGGTATTTATAACTGAACCAAAACCCTAATAAAATGCAAAATACCAGATATGACCTTAAAACCCTAATAATTGAAAAAAAATGTACTAATTAATATAAAATAACCAAATATATGTAAGATTACAGTTAAATTTGTAAGTACAAATATTAAGTCCTAGATAACTTAACCCCTTAACCAGCATAATTGCATCCTCCATCATTCTCCCCTGATTGGAGAAAACTCATCCTCGAGTTTTGAAAAATTGAAGTATAAGAAATTTCCAGCAAGTCAATGTAATCTCATGAATCGGAAGAATAAAGTCAGCAGATGAAAGATCTTCACTAGACAACACTTGAACAAACTCTTTAGTTGCGTGGACAGCTACAAGTTTAATTTCGAAAGCTGTAGATCCAGCACTCTCATTCTCCACATTTTCAACTTTAAGAAAATCATGTTCAAATAACTCAGCAGATTATACCTCATGCATCTTATCTCTTAATCCCTCTTCAACAAAATTGCTCTCTTTGGCCTAAAACATAGGGGATGTGTCTACAACTTTAACATATTCAATATGTTTTTCCTCAACTTCCTTTTTGACAGGTACAATAGTAATTGTAATAGGATCTTTCTTCTCAGACACATTTTAGAAACATGTTTGAGAAAATGAACTTGCAGAAGAATCAAAAGATTTTCGACTTTTTCCCGATTGATTAAATACTATTCCAAATTCATATTTTACTCCCATCAATTCTTCACATGTAAACTTTAATCTCTGATTTTCAAATATTTGTTTAGTATATAATCTTTGAAATTATGATATTCATAAAACTGAAGGATAAAGTTTTTCAAAGCCATATCTAACTCTCAAAGCAATCAACTCTTGTAAGTGGAAAGTAGCTTCATGAATATCTTCTTCCAACCTCTCATTTTGCTCCAAAGTAATTATGTCAGCTCAAAATAATGATTTCTGAAAATGATCCATTAAAATTTGACCTGTAGACGCTGAATATTGGAAAATGTGCATCAAAATTGGAATCAGGATGTCAAAATTAGCAAATCTAGAGGTTCTGAAAAATTGGTGATGTGGCACAGTCAAAGCTGATGTGGTAGAAGACTGACAAGTGACACTGACATGGCAGAATTCTGACTGGTGGTGCTGGCATTGCAGAAGGTGGACAAATGATGCTGAGGTGACAGGATGGTGTTTGTGAAGGTGTACAAATGATGCAGATCTTGTCCTGCTCTAATACCAATTGATGTAGAGCAAGTAGGGGAAAGAGATAAACAATAGAAATTTAAAGGGAAAATTAGAAATAGATAGAAGCAATTAGGGAGGAATAGAGGCATAAGGGGAGAAAAACCAAAAGAATCAATAGAGGGAGAAAATGTCAATAATCAATATGTCCAATATTCATTGTTCAAAACATTCTTAAAACTAAAATAACATAGGTATTTATAACTAAGTGCAAAACCCTAATCAAATGAAAAAATATCAAACGTAACCCTAAAACCAATCATTGAAAAATTAAAATACTAATTAATATAAAATAACTTAATAATGTAAAATTGCCTAAATATATGTAAGAATTACAATCCAATCAGTAAATTCTAATATAAAGACCTAGATACCTCAATCCCTCAACTAGCATAATTGCATTCTCCATCAGGAATCTAATATGTGTCTTGACATGGGTATTTTAGGAAAATGAAGAGTGGAGCAACGTAGCTGCTTTCCATATGGTGATTCTGATTTTCTTTTACTTTTTTCTTCTTTGTGCTTCCCAAGTGTATGCATTCGAACTATTAGCAGCAATGAATCTGTGTGCCATTGCCATAGCTTTCTAACACATGCTTCATTGAGACCAATCAGCAATGTTAAGCATAGATTGTGGTCTGGATGGCAGTAGCTAATATTACCAATCCCAATGGTGTACGGTTGTGTCATCATTAAAATGGCAAAAGGGTTTGTTTATTGCAAGTTTCTCTGTGGATTTTTATTCTGAACATGCATGGTGTCATTGTGTTTCAAGTATCTGTATGTTTTTCAAAGTAAAAGCAACAATGTAGTGATGACTGTACAGATTTGGGATTTGTGTTCATGTTTGCCATTTTTTTTAAAAAAAAAAATTTGGAATGCTGTTTCTGCCAAGGCTACGACAGTGCTTGTAATGGGGCACTCTCTGTCGCTAGTCTTGATATGAGATAGGTGGAAGTAGCTTGATAAGGAAAAAAAGATAACTTTAGCTGAAAAATTATTTCCCTGTTAATTTTCACTCATGGTCTTCTACTGAGGTGAAAATAAAGGGAGCAGATAATAGCATCAACATTTGTTGAAGGTTTAGTGGGAAGCTGGAAGGTGATGAGGGTCTTTTTTGTTAATTTACTTCTGGAGGCCTTTCCCTTCAGCAGTATTACGATGACTTCAAAATCTAGTTGGAGAAGGCTGGGCAAGTTGTTCGTTTATAACAGATGATAGAACTACAGACCAGTGGCATTCTTTTGTTGAGTGATTGCATCTTGAGTGTTTAATAATCCTAATGTAATTTTAACACTTTGGACCTAAGTGAAATGACGTATCTTTTTGAGTTCTTCAGGCACGTTCAAGTTGACTCTTCAATTCACTGAGGATTATCCAAACAAGCCTCCAACAGTGAGATTTGTTTCCCGAATGTTTCATCCAAATAGTAAGTTCTAATTGGAACTACTGTAATATTTTTCTTCTATAACAGTCAATATTGTTCCATTTATGGTTTCTGACTTAAACCTATTCAACCTTTTTAGTTTATGCCGATGGAAGTATTTGTTTGGACATTTTACAGAACCAATGGAGTCCTATATATGATGTAGCAGCTATTCTCACATCCATCCAGGTATAGTGGAAAACCTATTCACAGTATGGATATAATTGTCATTCATCTAATATTATGAGACTATTGAAGGAAGAAGTGCTACTGCATAGATCATGTAAAATGAAAAACTTAGTTGAAGCAGGAGCATGCTGCCTTCTCTGCTTTCCTATTTTTAGATAAGATGAAGATGATGGAATTTTTTGATAAAGCTAAATGTGTTTGTTTTTCATATGTTCATATTTTTGGATAAGAAAATTTTGGAGGATTTAGAATCAATTCATCACTTAGGATCCATGAAATTTACCTAGCCAGTTTTGAAACAGACTTATAATGCCTTTTCATTGTGATTACAAATAATGAGTTTTGTTGTATGATTAAAGTTTTAATAGTTGAAAGAACAATAATTAACATCTAGCAATCTATCATAATAATATATTAGATTAATATTTTTTATTAAACCAATGAGCTTAAATTCAATTTTTTGATAAAAAAAAAACCTTGACCAATAAATCAAGTATAAAAATTATTTCACCATAAACCTGAATGCCCTGGTTTTGGTTCCTTAAATGCAATCAGGTTTACTCCTGTTGCTGCCGTCAGTCCTTATGTTGTTTAATTATTTTTTTACTGGAACGTATGTTGTGTAATTTTTGTAGATTCTTTGGAGCTTTTCGAAGTTTCCAACTGTCCATTTATCATTTTTATGAAATTTAATATCCCAAACCTATGTGAGAGAAAGAAAAGGGAATAGTAGAAACCAAGTTTGTCCTCTTTGTAGGAGGACAGTGGTGATTTGTAAAGTTCTGGTGTGCAAAAAGCAAGGTTTTCCTGGCAAATCAATATTCAGATACATGAGAGTATGTGCAATTGATGCTGGATTGGATTATTATATCTCAATTCTCAAACTTGCCCTGTCTTGAGGGCTTAAATTCTAGCTATGTGGGATGCAGCAAAAGTTGTTTGCATTACATAGCATTTTCTTTCTTTTTCCCCTGCATTTCTTTTCTTTCAGCCAAGATTATTTTTGGTTTAATAGTTTTGTTTTTTTTATTTTGACAAATAATTGTTTGAACTGGCGATCTTGAGTAAGGGGTTCAATATTTACTCGTAGTGTGGTTCTGCATAAGCTTAGAACAAAATGGTGCTTTAATTTTTCATTTACATTCATTGAAATAGGTGAATTTAGCTGTGTTTGTGTCCTTGTGTGTGTGTGTGTTATGAACTACATGATTGTAACTATCATTCCTCTATTGCAGTCATTGCTGTGTGATCCCAACCCAAACTCACCTGCAAACTCAGAAGCTGCTAGGATGTTTAGTGAGAACAAGCGTGAGTACAACCGAAGAGTAAGGGAGATTGTGGAGCAGAGCTGGACAGCAGACTAACTCCATGCAGTAGTGGGGCAGTGGGGTTTTAAGGTTTGATGTTATGGTAGAATTGCTGTCGGGACCCATCAACTTTATCCTGAACTCCCACTCGTGTTCCCTTTAGAAATGGATATTAGGGGTATTTGATCGACATCATGCTCAAGACATTTTGCTTCGTGTGTCTTCATGCCTGTGTAAAATGGCATTCATGTATCTATTTGCATTGAACCATCATGAACTTTATGCTTCTATATAAATATCTGGTTGCTTTTGTCCCAAACGCAAGCATTCTACTCATTGGGAGAGAAGCATGATGCTTAGCGAGCTTATTGATTGTCATCGGTGATAGTTGCAGACCAACTTCCATATTTTTATTGTGGGTTTGGATGCTCACATAGCATTTATTTGTAGTAGTCACGAGAAAAGTATGAGAGGTGCAGATTCCTTTTCTCACATTCAAGGAAGGTAAATGAGTAAAGGAGAGGTAAAGCACTTATTAGTATCACATGTTGCTTTACCTGATGCCTATAGCGTGCTGCTGCTTTGAAAATGATGTTAGGGTTACATGTTTGATAAATAGTTTCAGCAATTCGTACTCATCCAAAGGAGATATGGTTTTTGATAGGACGAATTCCAGGATAGGGTTATCCTCTGCAGCTCTTCTCACGTGCTATATATGTTTATCAGTTTTCAGTTCACGGATGATAATTGGACAATGAAGAGGATTATTTTTTGGTCAAACCAAGTAGTACCCGTTCAGAGGGTTCAATTCCCTCGGGACTCTCTGAGGGTGTACCCAAATCGTATTTTAAGGAGTTGCAGCTGCAGCTGATACTAGATGCGGAAATGAATTGTTTGTACGAGAAAAATGGGAAAAATTTAAAAGCAAAGAGACGATGATGTGAGACGACAACACATGATACATGATACAAGGAAACAAGTCACTACTCTTAATACAGGGCTCGTCTCCGCTAATTATGAGAGAATGGATAATCATAACACGACGTAGTTTCACTCTGTTATGATATGAACCAAGCAGTAACGAACAACTCATATAAAGACCAGAGAACAAAATAAGACACAGAGGTTGGCTCAAAGCCGAGACGGGACAGAAAAAAAAAAAAAAAAGAAAGAGAGAGAGAGAAAAGGGGATGGTGTTAAACAGCTCGGTGGTGGTGACAGTAGCCAACGTGTCAGCAAACGTATGCCAATACATAGCCTGTAACCCGGAGCGCTTAAGCAGCGACCAAGTCTTGCATCTCCTCTGCCTTCCGCTCCGTCATCTTTGCCGCCTTGCAGACTCTTTATGGCGCTACCTATGCTTTGATCCTCCCCATCACCCTCTCTCTGATTCCAGCGACGACGATGCCTCTCACTCCGATTGAACTCCCACCCACACTTGGTTCGTTTTCTTCTTCGACTATGTATTCCTCCTGTAATTCTTTCTCTCCCATTCATGCCTAATTCTTTTTTCTTCCAGTCTTTTATGTTATTATTACTGTTGGCCCGGGCACTCGTTTCTTGTAAATCGTGGGACTGAATTATTGCTACATCGAAAATCTCAGATGCCGTTGGCTTAATTAATGGGTTTGCTTTGTATCCTTTGGTTTTAGGTTAATGGGTTTGACTTGGATCTTCTGTCCCCTTGGGACTTGGATAGTTACTGCTTGCCAATGGATCATGGTAATAATTCTGACGTGCCTTGAACAGATTCAGATCAAACAAGCTTTTGTGTCAATCATATCCTCGAAAACAACGAATAAGTTGGAATGATTTGATACAATTTTGTATCCCAAGTCCTTGTATAATACTAGACACAAACAATTCCAGTTTAAAGCAACAACCCAAGAAAAAACACAGGAGGTCTTGACTTCACACCAGATTGGAACACTTCACTTTAACCCCTATACATATGATATCACAACCACGATTAACAAAAAGGAATCCAGCTGGGGATGGAAACAAATATGGTTTAGCATATTTGCGCACCACACTGCCTACATCTCTCCAGTCGCGCTGATTTCTTCTGTCAAAGGAGCATCCTGTAAAGTAAGGAGATCAATAGTCAGTAGCATGTGAAGGTAAAAATCAGGCGTCATTATCACTGCCCTCCAAACTTGTTCAAACCTTGCAAATTTGGGGCTATAGCAACGTTAAAGAGTGTAGGGCAGTATGCTCAATATATTATTAGTCTGTTCCCTTAAGAACTCTTACCATATTTTCTTTGTCCTCTTCAGCAGTCTCACCTGCAGCTGTAGGGCTAACTTGACCTGTAAATAAAATTGCAAATGCATAAGTCATGCACCCAAAGGCACGGATGCTATACATGAAATTTATCTGCACACTTGCCTTCTTCGTTAGCTGATTTGATCCCATGTCTCTTAGTCCTGTCCTTTCCTTTAACAGGCTCTTGCCTGGTTGTCTTCTGAGTTTTCTTCTGAACCTTACGACTCCCAGTGTCAGAAACAGACCTTGAATTTGAACTGTTCTTATTCAAAGCCCTATTCCTGGTTACAGGATTAGTCTTTGGGGTAGCCTCTTTTGCTGATTCGGCAACTGATGAAACGTGAGCAGCATCAGTATTCAAGGACTTGGGTTTCAGTTTCCTAGATCCCACTACAGAAGAAACGCTGTGAACCTCGTCATCAGATGACCGAGTCCCCTCCTCAGGCAATTGAGAAAAGGTTTCGGACACCTGTGGTTGATCTGAATTTTCTGAAACATTATAGCTTTTAAGTAGTTCCATTATAGCTTCATCATTTTCACCAAGATTATGGCGACGTAAATAGGATCTAAGCTCATCACGCATTCTCTGAAGGGGCTGGATTCGGAGTTACAATGAGCAAGAGAAAATACAGAAATAGGTTAGAATTCAATCCCAAGAACTTGTATTGCATCTTCAAATAGACAAAAGTAAACAATAAATCTAATATATTAAAGTCCATAAGCCACTATGACTATATATATAATGTGCGACCAGAGAAATTTACAACAATTGCTAAGGATGTAGGCTGAAAATTAAAATCAGAAACATGATAAATAACAAAAGCCAAAAGAAAAATTGAAATAGTTGAATCAGAAGTACAGAATACAAAAGATGACGCAATAATTTCAGCAAGAACTTTGATGCAGCAAACCAACAAACCCCAAATTCACAGCACAAGCATGCAAAGTGAACTGACGAAAGCATATGAATCAGCATACCTCACAACCAGCCTCTAAGGCAAGTTTGAAAAACCCAAGTGAGACTGAGTGCTTAGAAGCTGATTCAGAGAGCTTAATCTGCGACAGCCAATATGAAGCTGATGACAGCACGCTGAACCTCCTTCGAGTTGCTGATCTAGACGCGTCAGAAAGAGGTGTGACGCTTTTGCCCTGAACATTGGTAGATTTCTTGGCTCTAGCCTCAGAGATAGGAGTGATTGTCCCAACAAATTTTGGAGATGGTGTGACAGTTGATTTGGTTGGGATAGAGAGCCTTCTGGGTGGCTTAGCAGATTTCTCCTTGGAAAGATCAAGAACACCCACACTCTTACTCACACTTGGTGTTGCTCTCCCCCTAAGAATGCCATACAAATAAAACCCAAAACAATTTAGCACTTAGAAGATAATAACAATAAAATAGTAGCGATTGCCAGTACCAGTAACTGCCAATTATAGAAACTATTAAGTAACAACAGGCAACATAGCGTAGTGCCATTATATGATAAATGGGCAATGAACTTATTTTTTATAAATAAAAAATTAATGCGAATGGCAATGGTACTTATCAACTACATAGGCAAGTCTGTCCCGTCTTTCAATATCTAGAAAAAGGGCAATTAATAAACCTAGAAACCAGATTGAATCACAGAATAGAAACTTTCGTATTTTTTAAAGGAAAAGATTACGAATTTACTTTACAAAACCCATATTCTATATTAACTTTCTTTCTTGATTTCACCAAACATATCAAGTTATTTCGCACCTAACCCTTCTTTTCTGTGCACGAAATTTTAATGGAATATTAAATCTGGAAGTGCGACATAGAATTCTACAGAGATGAAACTGAGAATTATAGAATTTGAATACCTTCTGGATGAAGAAGAATTGGACAAATCACCCGCCAGAGGCTTCTCCTCCTTTGATTTCATCGAGGATCGGAGAGGATACCGTAGCTTCGACTTCCCTGCACTCCCTGAAATATTCCCAAAAAAAAAAAGAATTAAAATCCGTAAAAAAAAAAAAAAACCTTTAAAAGCCAAGGAAAACCTAAAGAAACTAAGGCAGAAATGAACCAGCAAAAGGAGCAGAATGCGGTTGCTCTTTGACAGGCTCCTCCATGATCGATTTGTCTCTTAGAAGATTTTTCTCAAACAGAAATTCTTGAATTCTTGGTTTTCTAAGGAACAAAGGAGCCCAGAATCGGATTTTATAACGATTTTTTTTTCCCTTTCTTTTAACCTTAAAGATGGTTCACTGCTGTGCTTTTGACTCTCCTCTTTCGAGCGGGAAAATTTAAGTAACCAGAAAAACATTAAAAAAAACCCTTTAAAATTTTCGAAACATCGCAGTTCAACCACTCCCTGGGATCAAATCTGTCATCTACTCGCTCTACTTGTGCGACACCTGTTCTTTTCCACGCTCCTCGTCCTACAATATGAGAAAACCGCTGTTCCAATGGCCGTTTTAGAACACAGGTGGCAATGATACAAGGAGAGTAACATTTGTCAGTAGCAGTGAGAGTGGGGTTAGATGATGAGTGATCGTAGGGGGTACTTTGAACAGCAGGGCCCAGGGGGAGCTGGAAATGGGACCCACGCGCCACACCCAGGCAGGGGAAAGGAAACGATCGCAAATTCGAAATTTCAAAATTCAAAACGAAAACAACCATAAGGCCGTGTTGGAAAACCGCTATGAACGGTTAAGATGGGATGTTAATCTTTAATATTGTTTGTGGGTCCAATCCTCAAACTTTTGTCCTCACTCTGCATGGGCACCGGACATGTGTTTATGTGGCCCCTGTGGGCCCAACTTTCTTTAATGCTTGTTGGGCTTAGGATTTGGGGTTTGGTCTCATTAGCTGCTGGCATCGACACAAAACTCTTTCGGTGAAACTTATCAACAAATTACCAAGTTGTCGAATGGAATATGATCTTTACCGTAATCAATAGTTATAATATCTACAAAAGAATCTCTAAAACTATTTTAAAAAAGTTAATTAAATCATTCTTCTTTTATTATGTTTAATTAAAATTTTTAAATAATGTTTGATATGTTATATGTTACATTCTAAATAAATGTAATCACGTTATAATTATAGTTTTGTCTAAAACACATGATAAAGTCTTTCTATTATAATGTGATTACAATGGACAAAGAGAATGTCATTCTCTTTTATCACCAAGGGAAGGTACATTTCCTTTTATAAAAGGAAAGTTTTTTTTTTCCAAATCATCCCGACCCTCTTTGGCCTTGTTCCTTTCCAATCAAACATTATAATGTACTCTTCTAAATAATCATATTCTCTACAATCACTATTTTTACATGTATTACCAAATGTTGTAGTGTTAATAAAGTACCCAACACCCCTTTATACTTTAATTTTGAACTCAATAAACTTTTATAACTAATCATTAATTGACTAAGATTAATCAAAATATTATTTTTCATTTTATATCATGCGATATTAATACGGTAGCATAATGATATAGTAAATGACATTTTTCTCCATATCATGTGAATATTAAAATGATAAATTATATTTTAATTAATGGTAATTAATCAAGTTATATACACCTATCTATTTGCTTCAAAATAAAAATACAAAAACTTTGATTAAATTTTATAAAAAAACAATGACTATTTTTAAATAAATCATTTTGCATCATTACGTCAATCAAAGCCTTTTCATTTTCTCTAGAACACATGGTAAAGTCTTCTCATTAGAATGACATTACAACGGGCAAATGGAATGCCATTCCCTTCATCATTAGGGGAAAGTAAGTTTCTTTTTGGAAAGGAAAATTTTTTTTTTCCCAAATTGTCCTGACCCTCTTTAGCCTTATCCTTTTCAAATGAAACATTATAGAGTAATTTTCTTAATAATTATATTCCTTACAATCACTATTTTTTCATATATTATTAAATGTTGCAATGTTAATGAAGTTCCAAATGCTTCTTTACACTTTAACTTTGAAAATAAACCTTTATTAGTAATAATTAACTAACTAATGTTAATCAAAATATCATTTGTTATTTTATGTTATATGACATTGATGTGATATACTAGAGTAGCATAATAACATGTCAAGTGACATTTTTCACCTTCTACATCAGCGTTATATGAGTATTAAATGGTAAATGATATTTTGATTAATAATAATTAATCAATTATTAGTTATACGGGTCTACCTATTTATTTTAAAATAAAAATATAAAAACTTGATTGAATTTTATAAAAGAACCATGATTATTTTTAAAAGTTTTAAATAATTCAGAGACTTTTTCAAGAATTATATCCTAAACAAGATAATAAACCCATAAAAATTCCATTACATTTCCTCACTGAAATTTCACCAAATTTCACTCATTTCAACCGCCAATCCGATGTTAAAAGGTGTTCATAAGATGCATGACTACGAGATTTGAATTTTATTCAATTCGATTCATTGCTTGTTGAATCTCTTCAAATTCCACTCATTTCAACCTCTAAAGCAATGTTGGAAGCCGTCCACAACTACCGACAGACAATCACTTTCGTTTTTACATTTTATTTTATTTTATTTTTGTATAAAATAATAAATAATAAAAATATCAATTAAACAAAGCTTTTAGTTATTTCTAATTGCATAACAATAAACCTATTTGAGTAGATCTATAAAGGTAACTTTATTAGAAGTGAGATAGTTTTGAAGTGGATGGGAACAGGTAACAATGTGAAGCAACTAAAAACAGCATTTGAATGATTTGGCTCTGTAGAAAATGGCAGATACTGAGTGGGCCACAAAGTGATAAAAGTTTTGGGTTCCTTGTTGCCCACAAGGATGGTTTGATGTATGAGCCAAGTAATGAGTAATTATATAAACCAATCTTAGATAATTGGAATATGGCATCATCTAACAAGTCCATGATAACCAATGTTTGTTGAAGAGCCCACACTACCTAACTCATCAAAACCTTTACCTGCTGCTGCTGCTGCACAGAATTCTTATTTGCACAATTATGTATACATTTGTCAATATCCATCAATCTTAGTATTGTAACTCCATTTTGTTGGTAGATATTCGAGGCCAACCAAAACAGAATTGACACTTTGTAATTAATAGCCGACTATAAGGGTATAGAGGGAAAAAAATTCATAAATCATTGTCAAAAAACCAAAACAAAATAAAAAGGAAAAACTTCAACCCTATCTTTTCCATCATTTTAACTCTCCTTCGCCCATTGCTTTTTTCTTACCTACTTTTTTATTTATTTATTTATATTATGAATATTTATGAGCTTATATGTTGGCCATGACGTCAATATTGAACATTAATCAATTTTCTTATATTGTTTTAGCAGTGAAAATCATTTATCACCTTCTCAATACCCTTAATTCCATAATGGAACATTGAAAATTTATACTTAGGAAATATAAAGTTTAAGAAATTTCATGAATTATTTAAAAAATTTTAAATAAATTTTTATTCTTTTATTACGTTCAATCAACATTATATATTTTTATTTTAAATTAAATAAATTTTTTAATTAATAATTGATTAATTATTATTAATTAAAATATCACTTGTCATTTTTTTACTCTTGTGACGTTGATGTGAAAGGTAAAAATGTCACATAGTTATATCACTATGTCATGTCATCATATATTTATAACATATCAATATCACCTGAGATAAAAATGACGATGGACATTTTGACTAATAATAGTTAGATAACTCTAAGTTACACTTATAATTTATTTACCTTAAAATAAAAATATAAGTACTTAATTAAATATAATAAAAAATAAAAAATTATTTAAATATTTTTAAATAGTTCAAAAAAAATGTTTATGCATTATGCTAATTAAAAATGCCGTTCAATGGGGGTGAGACTTTGAAGTGTTAATAGTCTCACACATCTATTAAAAATAAAATAAAATGTGCTAACATTTCGGAAACATCTTTCCAATGGTAGAAGGTGTAGTATTTAATAGTGTGCTTAAATGATTCATCAACAACTTGAGGTTTAACTTTTCTTAATGTGGTTGCTTATATATTTGAATGAAGTACTATGGAGAAGGTGAGGTGTATTATCCGAAGGAGTGGTGGGATATTGACTTGTGAAGCTAAGGGCTTACTAAGATTATTAATTACGATTGCTAAGCTTGTTAATAATAATAATTGAGGTTGTACAAGCCACAAGGTTAGATTCACCCTTCATATTGTATTAAATCCAAAGAAAAGGTTGGCCAGTTAATGAAGAAGAAAGAAAAGCACAAAAATGGAATGGATTTGGAAGGAAGATACTTAGGAAAATATCTATACTATATATTCTATAAAAATTGTCTCCAAGGGAATTATTGATTGACATGTGAGGAGTTCTTTGCTCACCCCATGACAGCTAATAACCCTTTTTTGGGATTTTTTTTAATTTTATAATAATAAATAATATTATATATATATATATACACTATGTATTAAAATTAACTCAAGTGATATTTTTGGACTTGACAAATTTTTTAATCTCAACCTATGGCATTGTGTTGAATTTTTTCTTGTGGATTATTATTAAATATTGAATTTAATTTAGAGTTTTTATTTGTTGGTTTTTAGTAGTTATAGACCCATTGGATCTTTATCTTTATAATTGTTATTTTTGTGTTAAACTTTATAATATGCCCCAAATGCATAGCACAAGCTACACCCTAATAATATTATTATTTTTGTCTTTTTTATTTTTAAATTTGTACAGTTTAACGTGTCCTTAATAGAAAAAGAAACTGTGGAAGTCACCCAAGAAACTCCAAGACCAACAAAAGACAAAAACCGCCCGCAATAATTTTTAGGCCACCCACCCACGAGTCGCCTACCTGCCTCGACGAAACCAGTGGAATAATTGTGCATTGTCCTGGAACATTGAACAACTTATTACAACTTGTAATTCAAAATTTATGACCCGGTGAACTTTATCTATTTATTGGCTATTATTTTTTGAGAAAAAAATATTTGAATTGAGATTATGTATCAATTTTTAAATTAAATATTTTGAATACTCATCAGGCTACCTTGCTACCACATGAAGTGAGTTTCAGATTATATGGTATGATTAAAACGAGATATATCTCGTGACCCTTTTCTTTCTTTTTACTTCTTTTGGGGAATATTGAGTCAAATTGTTCCTAAAGAACTATGACTTTGGAAGAATCATTGCTCTTATATAAAAATAAAATAAAATAATCATTGTTTAGAATATGCTTATATTTTTTAAATGGGTAAATTACCCCACC